TATATAAGTAAACAAACTCTTAAATTCTAATGAACCATTTCTAGGTGCAGCCTCAGGATTGCATCCCTCTCACAACAAAGGCTTTTCCAAACCTTTCTCATTTTGTTTTTTCTGGCTTTTCCAAGCCATGGCATGGGGCTTTTCCAAACCCCAGGGAGGTGAAGCTTTTCCAAACTTCACATCTGCAAGGAGGCCCCCATGGATGCTGATCTTTTCCAACATCAGTCATCCTGGTGGGTCTGGGGGTAAGCACCCACAGCTGCTTTGAAGCTGGAATACCCACCTCCACACCACTGGTGGTCACACCATTTGGTGTTGATGGGGTAGTGTTCCATATCCCAGGAGGCTGCCTCCATGCAGATGCTGGCATTGTCATCAAAAATGACATGGCCCCCCCACTGCCAAGCCAAATTCACTTTCCCCCCCACTCCTGTTTTCTGCCAGCAAATTTTTTTTCCAAGAAATTTGTGGTGTATGGGGATGGGATCTCTGATCTCCACAGGCACTCCCTTGGCCCTGCCAGTGCTGGCAACATAGGACAGAATGATGACCTCAGCTTTTGTCCAGGAGTTGCTCCAAAGCAAAGAGGTCTTCACTGCTGACCCTGCCAGAGTTCTCCAAGGTCTGGTGCCAATCAACCATCACCTTGGGCTTGGCAGTAGGCTTGTCCAAACCCACTGTCTTGGACTTTTCCAAGTCCTTTCTCTGGCTTGCCTTGGCCTTGGCCTTGGGCTTGGCCTTGGACTTTCCCAAATCCTTGGCCTTGGGCTAGAATCCATGGCCTTCTGGAGCTCTTCCTGCAGCCTCTGCTGGCACCTTTTCTGGGCCTTTTCCAAGGCTTCCAGATGGCTGACCAAGTGGCTTGGGGAGCTGGGGTCTGCCTGCTCCAAGGCACTCCACTGTTTGTGGGCCCTCTTGGCCTGTCCCACTCCCCCACGGCCTCCCTTTTTTGTTCTTGGGGCCCTTGGGGCCCTCTTGCTCTGCCATTGTCTTTTCCAAAACAATGGCAGCACAGGCTTTTCCAAACCTTTGGGGGGAGCAGGGAAAAGCTTTTCCAAACTTTTCCACCAGAAGAAAATGCTTTTCCAAACCTGGAAGGCCTTTTCCAAGACCACTAACAGCTCAGCTACACTACAAGGCGAAGGCTGTGGTGAAGTGTTGAGTGTTGTGGTGTGTGCTGTGCAGTGTAGTGTGTGCCCATACATGCATGGAACATATGCAGTGAGTGTTGTGCTGGTGTGGTGACTATACCGACTATACCTAATGGGGGTGCTTGCTATACATGCTTTGCTGTGTGTACCAACCTATGCTATGCTGTGGTGTTGCTGAAGTGCTGTGCATGCTGTGTGTTGAGCCACCTAAGCTTCAAACTGAAAACAGCTGCAGGAACAAACATTTATTCATTGTAGAACCCCCGTTTGGCTTAAGACTGCTTTTGCCTTTTTGGTGCAGGAGGGGGGGGGTATTGGTGCACGGCTGGTGCGCGGGACTGGATCCAGTCGGGATCCAGTCGGGATCCAGTCGGGCACCAATGTCGGGAGGCAGCCAAATTCATAAAAAATAGCATTTTTGCAGTGTTTTTGCATGTTTTTGGGTGATTTTGGCTGCTTCCCGACAGGTCCAAACGTGGTGCCAAAAATTCGAAAATTGGTGCCCGACTGGATCCCGACTGGATCCCGACTGGCCAAAAGCGGTGCCCAAAAATGCAAAAATTGGTGCCCGATTGGGTCCCGACTGGGTCCCGACTGGGTCCCGACTGGATCCCGACCCGGTTTCTTCAAAAAAACACCTATTTCCTTAAATTTGAGCACCTATTTTTGAAATTTTAGCACCTTGCCGTGCACCACCCCCCCCCCTCCGTTTCCCCCTCCGGAACCCCCCCCCCCACCAGTCTTAAGCCAAACACGGGCTTGGCAATTTATTCAACTTCTTTTGTTAGATAACAGCTTTGCAGTGTCCTCACCTGGAACTTGCCTACACTTCCAAACAGTGCAGCTCTTTTTTTCACAACAAAATTGTCCAAGTGAAACAGCTGAGCTAATAGGATAGTCTTTTCCAAAACCTCTACAAATGCTTGCCTTTTCCAAGACATAGCATGCATATATCTCTTGTCTTTTCCAAAACAAGAAAGCTGACAGCATATCAATTCTCTTGCCTTTTCCAAAGCAAGAAAGCTTGACACCATACCTTGTCTTTTCCAAGACATGGCTGTGTCATGCTTATCTTTTCCAAGAATCATGGCACTTTCTTCAGGGCTGGTGCCTTTTCCAAAGCATCCAGGAGGTCACTTGGAGCCATATCTGCTCAGCAAACCAGCTCTCATTTCCAATGCCTCCTCCTTAGTCAAAGAATCCTTTTCCAAAGCTTCTCTGATCTTGCCAATAATGGCTTTGTAATGGGGTGACTGGTGGGCTTGAACAATCAAGTGCTTGGAACCACCCTTCACATTGCCCTGAATATAACTCCTCTCAGGGTTTGTGCCATGTGTTTGTATCAGCTTTTCCCATTCTTGTCTGTGGCCAGGTTGGGTACCCCTGGTCAAAACTTTTCCAAATTTTGCAGCTGGCTTTTTCATGACAGCCTTAGCCTTAGCCTTTCCAGGCTTTGGCTTTTCCAAACCATACCCCATGGCTTCATGCAGCCTGCTGCCTGGCCTTCTGTTGGCAAGCTGGGGAGATGCAGCAGGCTTCTTCAAGCTTGCCTCTTTTCCAAGAGGGCTTCTGAAAATTGCAGGCAAGCCTGAGGAGTCAAGGGAAATCTCACTGTCATAAGCTTCCAATTTCCTTTTGGCCTTTCCAGGCCTCTGCTCCTCCTCTGCCTGCTCCACATGTTCAGCCCCTGGGTTCTCAGGCACCACCTCTGCATCCCCAGGGTCAGCATTTGGGCCAGGGGCAGTCTGCAGCTTTTCCAAGCCTTCCAAAAGACTTTGGTATTCAAGCCTTGTCAATTGGCAGACAGCTGGCCCCAAGGCATTTGTGCTCCTCCCCAACTGCCTTACATGCTTCAGCATGCAAATTGAGCCTCTCTATCTTGAGGTTTTCCCAGGCAGCACCACTATGCTTTCCAGAATTCAAGTCTGGAATAGTGGTCAGTAAGCTGATCAAGGCTTGCCTCAGAGGCTGGGAATGGATGCTGCCCTGTGGTGAGAGCTCTAGCAATCCAGCCCACAAGTCTTTCAGATCCAGGAGGGCTTTGGCATTAGGTGCTGCCTGGGAACTGACATGTTCATATGCCTTCATGTCAGCAAGCAACTTCTGGTGCTTTTCCAAGCACTTGTATAACAAGCCAACATCCACCCAAGGCTTGGCCTCATGCCTGGCACCTCCTTTCCCACCACCCATTCCCAAGTCTTTTCCAAAACTTGGGTGGGACTTGGGCCCTTTCCAGGACCTCTTTGCTTTCCACTGGTCCTTTCCAGGACCTCTTTGCTTTCCACTTGTCCTTTCCAGGACACCCCTTTCTAAACCCGTTTTCAATTTTTTTTGCACTGCTAACAAAACTTTCAAGCCAAAAACAGCTGCATATGTTCCATGCATGTATGAGCTAGCTACACATGGCAAATCAATTGGCCATATTGATTCACTCCATAAAACACCCAAAAGCAAATCAATTAGCAAATCAATTAGCAAATCAAGTAGCAAATCAATATGGAATCAATAAAAATATCGATTGCCATCAATGGATATTTTGACTTTTCAAAAAATCAATTGCTCAGAGAGGCCAGATATTGATTCTAATCAATTAGGGATGCTCAGGGTACATCTATGCAGATGGTACACACACACACACACACGCCCCGCAACAGCGGGGCAGATGAAATGACAATGAAAGTGAAATGAAAATGAACATGAAATGAAAGTTACTTAACCAGGACGCGAAGAGGGGAACGCAAAAGAAGAGGGAAGGAGCAAACACCAACACAAACACACCTGGCCCAGAACGGGCAAACCCTGAAAAGGCAAGGAAAGAAAAAACGGAGGCCGACGGAAACGGAACCAGACCAGCGGAGGAGGGGGAGGACGGAGGCGCCTGAACCAACCAGTTAAATTTGAAAGTACAATGAAGAAACCTAAAACTTAAACACTTATGATTACTTATCATATATATATATTGAAATGTTTATGAATATATAAATATTTGAATATATACATATACAAACATCATTATATTTTTTTAACATTAATATTTAATATTTATTGTATAGTTATTTTTTATATTTGTTCCTTCTTTAATTCTGTTGGGTGAATTTTGCCAGGTCCACCAGGCCAAAAGCACAGTGGCCCTCCAGGCCACTGATCCCACTGGGGCCTTGCCCAGTGGGAGGTGAAACATCTGCAGGTAAGCTTTTCCAAACCCACCTTCACCTTGCAATCCTGAAGCTGCACCTTTTTGAGAAACATATAAAACTTCTACATATTTAAGTAAGCTTTGAGTTATAGTTACTTTGCCACAGACTATGCTATGCTATCTTTGCTAGCCAAATTATATAAGTAAACAAACTCTTAAATTCTAATGAACCATTTCTAGGTGCAGCCTCAGGATTGCATCCCTCTCACAACAAAGGCTTTTCCAAACCTTTTTCATTTTGCTTTCTTTGGCTTTTCCAAGCCATGGCATGGGGCTTTTCCAAACCCCAGGGAGGTGAAGCTTTTCCAAACTTCACATCTGCAAGGAGGCCCCCATGGATGCTGATCTTTTCCAACATCAGTCATCCTGGTGGGTCTGGAGGTAGCCTCCACACCACTGGTGGTCACACCATTTGGTGTTGATGGGGTAGTGTTCCATATCCCAGGAGGCTGCCTCCATGCAGATGCTGGCATTGTCATCAAAAATGACATGGCCCCCCACTGCCAAGCCAAATCCACTTCCCCCCCACTCCTGTTTTCTGCCAGCAAATTTCTTTTCCAAGAAATTTGTGGTGGAAGGGGATGAGATCTCTGATCTCCACAGGCACTCCCTTGGCCCTGCCAGTGCTGGCAACATAGGACAGAATGATGACCTCAGCTTTTGTCCAGGAGTTGCTCCAAAGCAAAGAGGTCTTCACTGCTGACCCTGCCAGAGTTCTCCAAGGTCTGGTGCCAATCAACCATCACCTTGGGCTTGGCAGTAGGCTTGTCCAAACCCACTGCCTTGGACTTTTCCAAGTCCTTTCTCTGGCTTGCCTTGGCCTTGGCCTTGGGCTTGGCCTTGGACTTTCCCAAATCCTTGGCCTTGGGCTAGAATCCATGGCCTTCTGGAGCTCTTCCTGCAGCCTCTGCTGGCACCTTTTCTGGGCCTTTTCCAAGGCTTCCAGATGGCTGACCAAGTGGCTTGGGGAGCTGGGGTCTGCCTGCTCCAAGGCACTCCACTGTTTGTGGGCCCTCTTGGCCTGTCCCACTCCCCCAGGGCATCCCTTTTTTGTTCTTGGGGCCCTTGGGGCCCTCTTGCTCTGCCATTGTCTTTTCCAAAACAATGGCAGCACAGGCTTTTCCAAACCTTTGGGGGGAGCAGGGAAAAGCTTTTCCAAACTTTTCCACCAGAAGAAAATGCTTTTCCAAACCTGGAAGGCCTTTTCCAAGACCACTAACAGCTCAGCTACACTACAAGGCGAAGGCTGTGGTGAAGTGTTGAGTGTTGTGGTGTGTGCTGTGCAGTGTAGTGTGTGCCCATACATGCATGGAACATATGCAGTGAGTGTTGTGCTGGTGTGGTGACTATACCGACTATACCTAATGGGGGTGCTTGCTATACATGCTTTGCTGTGTGTACCAACCTATGCTATGCTGTGGTGTTGCTGAAGTGCTGTGCATGCTGTGTGTTGAGCCACCTAAGCTTCAAACTGAAAACAGCTGCAGGAACAAACATTTATTCAACTTCTTTTGTTGGATAACAGCTTTGCAGTGTCCTCACCTGGAACTTGCCTACACTTCCAAACAGTGCAGCTCTTTTTTTCACAACAAAATTGTCCAAGTGAAACAGCTGAGCTAATAGGATAGTCTTTTCCAAAACCTCTACAAATGCTTCTGCCTTTTCCAAGACATAGCATGCATATATCTCTTGTCTTTTCCAAAACAAGAAAGCTGACAACATATCAATTCTGTTGTCTTTTCCAAAGCAAGAAAGCTTGACACCATACCTTGTCTTTTCCAAGACATGGCTGTGTCATGCTTACCTTTTCCAAGAATCATGGCACTTTCTTCAGGGCTGGTGCCTTTTCCAAAGCATCCAGGAGGTCACTTGGAGCCATATCTGCTCAGCAAACTAGCTCTCATTTCCAATGCCTCCTCCTTAGTCAAAGAATCCTTTTCCAAAGCTTCTCTGATCTTGCCAATAATGGCTTTGTAATGGGGTGACTGGTGGGCTTGAACAATCAAGTGCTTGGAACCACCCTTCACATTGCCCTGAATATAACTCCTCTCAGGGTTTGTGCCATGTGTTTGTATCAGCTTTTCCCATTCTTGTCTGTGGCCAGGTTGGGTACCCCTGGTCAAAACTTTTCCAAATTTTGCAGCTGGCTTTTCATGACTGCCTTAGCCTTAGCCTTTCCAGGCTTTGGCTTTTCCAAACCATACCCCATGGCTTCATGCAGCCTGCTGCCTGGCCTTCTGTTGGCAAGCTGGGGAGATGCAGCAGGCTTCTTCAAGCTTGCCTCTTTTCCAAGAGGGCTTCTGAAAATTGCAGGCAAGCCTGAGGAGTCAAGGGAAATCTCACTATCATAAGCTTCCAATTTCCTTTTGGCCTTTCCAGGCCTCTGCTCCTCCTCTGCCTGCTCCACATGTTCAGCCCCTGGGTTCTCAGGCACCACCTCTGCATCCCCAGGGTCAGCATTTGGGCCAGGGGCAGTCTGCAGCTTTTCCAAGCCTTCCAAAAGACTTTGGCATCCAAGCCTTGTCAATTGGCAGGCAGCTGGCCCCAAGGCATTTGTGCTCCTCCCCAACTGCCTTACATGCTTCAGCATGCAATTGAGCCTCTCTATCTTGAGGTTTGCCCAGACAGCACCACTATGCTTTCCAGAATTCAAGTCTGGAATAGTGGTCAGTAAGCTGATCAAGGCTTGCCTCAGAGGCTGGGAATGGATGCTGCCCTGTGGTGAGAGCTCTAGCAATCCAGCCCACAAGTCTTTCAGATCCAGGAGGGCTTTGGCATTAGGTGCTGCCTGGGAACTGACATGTTCATATGCCTTCATGTCAGCAAGCAACTTCTGGTGCTTTTCCAAGCACTTGTATAACAAGCCAACATCCACCCAAGGCTTGGCCTCATGCCTGGCACCTCCTTTCCCACCACCCATTCCCAAGTCTTTTCCAAAACTTGGGTGGGACTTGGGCCCTTTCCAGGACCTCTTTGCTTTCCACTGGTCCTTTCCAGGGCCTCTTTGCTTTCCACTTGTCCTTTCCAGGACACCCCTTTCTAAACCCGTTTTCAATTTTTTTTGCACTGCCAACAAAACTTTCAAGCCAAAAACAGCTGCATATGTTCCATGCATGTATGAGCTAGCTACACATGGCAAATCAATTGGCCATATTGATTCACTCCATAAAACACCCAAAAGCAAATCAATTAGCAAATCAATTAGCAAATCAAGTAGCAAATCAATATGGAATCAATAAAAATATCGATTGCCATCAATGGATATTTTGACTTTTCAAAAAATCAATTGCTCAGAGAGGCCAGATATTGATTCTAATCAATTAGGGATGCTCAGGGTACATCTATGCAGATGGTACAGACACACACACGCCCCGCAACAGCGGGGCAGATGAAATGACAATGAAAGTGAAATGAAAATGAACATGAAATGAAAGTTACTTAACCAGGACGCGAAGAGGGGAACGCAAAAGAAGAGGGAAGGAGCAAACACCAACACAAACACACCTGGCCCAGAACGGGCAAACCCTGAAAAGGCAAGGAAAGAAAAAACGGAGGCCGACGGAAACGGAACCAGACCAGCGGAGGAGGGGGAGGACGGAGGCGCCTGAACCAACCAGTTAAATTTGAAAGTACAATGAAGAAACCTAAAACTTAAACACTTATGATTACTTATCATATATATATATTGAAATGTTTATGAATATATTAATATTTGAATATATACATATACAAACATCATTAAATTTTTTAACATTGATATTTAATATTTATTGTATAGTTATTTTTTATATTTGTTCCTTCTTTAATTCTGTTGGGTGGACCTGGCATTTTGCCAGGTCCACCAGGCCAAAAGCACAGTGGCCCTCCACTGATCCCACTGGGGCCTTGCCCAGTGGGAGGTGAAACATCTGCAGGTAAGCTTTTCCAAACCCACCTTCACCTTGCAATCCTGAAGCTGCACCTTTTTGAGAAACATATAAAACTTCTACATATTTAAGTAAGCTTTGAGTTATAGTTACTTTGCCACAGACTATGCTATGCTATCTTTGCTAGCCAAATTATATAAGTAAACAAACTCTTAAATTCTAATGAACCATTTCTAGGTGCAGCCTCAGGATTGCATCCCTCTCACAACAAAGGCTTTTCCAAACCTTTTTCATTTTGTTTTCTTTGGCTTTTCCAAGCCATGGCATGGGGCTTTTCCAAACCCCAGGGAGGTGAAGCTTTTCCAAACTTCACATCTGCAAGGAGGCCCCCATGGATGCTGATCTTTTCCAACATCAGTCATCCTGGTGGGTCTGGAGGTAGCCTCCACACCACTGGTGGTCACACCATTTGGTGTTGATGGGGTAGTGTTCCATATCCCAGGAGGCTGCCTCCATGCAGATGCTTGCATTGTCATCAAAAATGACATGGCCCCCCCACTGCCAAGCCAAATCCACTTTCCCCCCCACTCCTGTTTTCTGCCAGCAAATTTCTTTTCCAAGAAATTTGTGGTGGAAGGGGATGAGATCTCTGATCTCCACAGGCACTCCCTTGGCCCTGCCAGTGCTGGCAACATAGGACAGAATGATGACCTCAGCTTTTGTCCAGGAGTTGCTCCAAAGCAAAGAGGTCTTCACTGCTGACCCTGCCAGAGTTCTCCAAGGTCTGGTGCCAATCAACCATCACCTTGGGCTTGGCAGCAGGCTTGTCCAAACCCACTGTCTTGGACTTTTCCAAGTCCTTTCTCTGGCTTGCCTTGGCCTTGGCCTTGGGCTTGGCCTTGGACTTTCCCAAATCCTTGGCCTTGGGCTAGAATCCATGGCCTTCTGGAGCTCTTCCTGCAGCCTCTGCTGGCACCCTTTTCTGGGCCTTTTCCAAGGCTTCCAGATGGCTGACCAAGTGGCTTGGGGAGCTGGGGTCTGCCTGCTCCAAGGCACTCCACTGTTTGTGGGCCCTCTTGGCCTGTCCCACTCCCCCAGGGCATCCCTTTTTTGTTCTTGGGGCCCTTGGGGCCCTCTTGCTCTGCCATTGTCTTTTCCAAAACAATGGCAGCACAGGCTTTTCCAAACCTTTGGGGGGAGCAGGGAAAAGCTTTTCCAAACTTTTCCACCAGAAGAAAATGCTTTTCCAAACCTGGAAGGCCTTTTCCAAGACCACTAACAGCTCAGCTACACTACAAGGCGAAGGCTGTGGTGAAGTGTTGAGTGTTGTGGTGTGTGTGCTGTGCAGTGTAGTGTGTGCCCATACATGCATGGAACATATGCAGTGAGTGTTGTGCTGGTGTGGTGACTATACCGACTATACCTAATGGGGGTGCTTGCTATACATGCTTTGCTGTGTGTACCAACCTATGCTATGCTGTGGTGTTGCTGAAGTGCTGTGCATGCTGTGTGTTGAGCCACCTAAGCTTCAAACTGAAAACAGCTGCAGGAACAAACATTTATTCAACTTCTTTTGTTGGATAACAGCTTTGCAGTGTCCTCACCTGGAACTTGCCTACACTTCCAAACAGTGCAGCTCTTTTTTTCACAACAAAATTGTCCAAGTGAAACAGCTGAGCTAATAGGATAGTCTTTTCCAAAACCTCTACAAATGCTTCTGCCTTTTCCAAGACATAGCATGCATATATCTCTTGTCTTTTCCAAAACAAGAAAGCTGACAACATATCAATTCTGTTGTCTTTTCCAAAGCAAGAAAGCTTGACACCATACCGTGTCTTTTCCAAGACATGGCTGTGTCATGCTTACCTTTTCCAAGAATCATGGCACTTTCTTCAGGGCTGGTGCCTTTTCCAAAGCATCCAGGAGGTCACTTGGAGCCATATCTGCTCAGCAAACTAGCTCTCATTTCCAATGCCTCCTCCTTAGTCAAAGAATCCTTTTCCAAAGCTTCTCTGATCTTGCCAATAATGGCTTTGTAATGGGGTGACTGGTGGGCTTGAACAACCAAGTGCTTGGAACCACCCTTCACATTGCCCTGAATATAACTCCTCTCAGGGTTTGTGCCATGTGTTTGTATCAGCTTTTCCCATTCTTGTCTGTGGCCAGGTTGGGTACCCCTGGTCAAAACTTTTCCAAATTTTGCAGCTGGCTTTTTCATGACAGCCTTAGCCTTAGCCTTTCCAGGCTTTGGCTTTTCCAAACCATACCCCATGGCTTCATGCAGCCTGCTGCCTGGCCTTCTGTTGGCAAGCTGGGGAGATGCAGCAGGCTTCTTCAAGCTTGCCTCTTTTCCAAGAGGGCTTCTGAAAATTGCAGGCAAGCCTGAGGAGTCAAGGGAAATCTCACTGTCATAAGCTTCCAATTTCCTTTTGGCCTTTCCAGGCCTCTGCTCCTCCTCTGCCTGCTCCACATGTTCAGCCCCTGGGTTCTCAGGCACCACCTCTGCATCCCCAGGGTCAGCATTTGGGCCAGGGGCAGTCTGCAGCTTTTCCAAGCCTTCCAAAAGACTTTGGTATTCAAGCCTTGTCAATTGGCAGACAGCTGGCCCCAAGGCATTTGTGTTCCTCCCCCAACTGCCTTACATGCTTCAGCATGCAATTGAGCCTCTCTATCTTGAGGTTTGCCCAGACAGCACCACTATGCTTTCCAGAATTCAAGTCTGGAATAGTGGTCAGTAAGCTGATCAAGGCTTGCCTCAGAGGCTGGGAATGGATGCTGCCCTGTGGTGAGAGCTCTAGCAATCCAGCCCACAAGTTTTTCAGATCCAGGAGGGCTTTGGCATTAGGTGCTGCCTGGGAACTGACATGTTCATATGCCTTCATGTCAGCAAGCAACTTCTGGTGCTTTTCCAAGCACTTGTATAACAAGCCAACATCCACCCAAGGCTTGGCCTCATGCCTGGCACCTCCTTTCCCACCACCCATTCCCAAGTCTTTTCCAAAACTTGGGTGGGACTTGGGCCCTTTCCAGGACCTCTTTGCTTTCCACTGGTCCTTTCCAGGACCTCTTTGCTTTCCACTTGTCCTTTCCAGGACACCCCTTTCTAAACCCGTTTTCAATTTTTTTGCACTGCCAACAAAACTTTCAAGCCAAAAACAGCTGCATATGTTCCATGCATGTATGAGCTAGCTACACATGGCAAATCAATTGGCCATATTGATTCACTCCATAAAACACCCAAAAGCAAATCAATTAGCAAATCAATTAGCAAATCAATTAGCAAATCAATATGGAATCAATAAAAATATCGATTGCCATCAATGGATATTTTGACTTTTCAAAAAATCAATTGCTCAGAGAGGCCAGATATTGATTCTAATCAATTAGGGATGCTCAGGGTACATCTATGCAGATGGTACACACACACACACGCCCCGCAACAGCGGGGCAGATGAAATGACAATGAAAGTGAAATGAAAATGAACATGAAATGAAAGTTACTTAACCAGGACGCGAAGAGGGGAACGCAAAAGAAGAGGGAAGGAGCAAACACCAACACAAACACACCTGGCCCAGAACGGGCAAACCCTGAAAAGGCAAGGAAAGAAAAAACGGAGGCCGACGGAAACGGAACCAGACCAGCGGAGGAGGGGGAGGACGGAGGCGCCTGAACCAACCTACCACGGCGAAACCTAAGCCTACCTCGGCACCCGCAGGACCCAACCCACCTGGAGAGGGGAAGAACACATGAGATAAGGGACCCATGGGGAACTAGTTAGTGAAACATGATGCATCCACTTAACGTGCATAAGTCGTGGTAAGGCTCAAAGGCCCTCCGTTGTCAGGTCACAACCCTATAGACGGCTTACGTGGTCAACCCTTGAATTACGTGCATATTTGAACCGTACCAGAGACCATCAAAAGGAAGGAGCACCACACCTAAAGCATGTCCTGTGCCTGGAATCCTCATGGTGCAATTGTCGAAATCTGTAAATGCTTGAGCAATGGTAAGAAAAGGAATTGTTGTCGCGGCTTCAGTCTACCAACCCTTGAAACTCAGGCAAAAAAGGTGAGTCCCTGGTACAGCGGGCGGTTGTTCAAAACGTCGACAGTCGACAGGGGTGAAAAAACCAAATAAGGCCAGCTGCTTCACTTTACTTAGACGAATTACTAGGTTGAAAATTGTAAATTCAGAGATCAGGTCGAGGATTCACTCTCCTACCTAGAAAAGTATTCCCCGAAGGGTTCATGCCACCGTGACGAATCCAGCATGAATCACACACTTGCTCAGAACAATCTTTGCGAATTCTGATGTGAAATTCATCGGACGTGCAAAAACACCAACAATAAAATGACACGAAGAATGAACATTTATACAAGTATATATAGACGTATAATCACAGTATAGACATTGATCGTATAAAACAACAGCGATAAGATCCCCCCCGGCTGCGACTTCTATGCGCCCAGGGGCGGGACTACACATATATTAAGCAGGTACGTTTACAGAGGAACATAGCAGCATCTCCATTGGCCGCTGACTGCAATGTTCCCCAGCGGCCCCCTGCAGTAATATCAAGTTTTGCATCTATGCAGGTGGTACACACACACACGCACACATGGGCAATGTGTGTGTGTGAGATGGTGAGTAGGAAGATACCCCCTGTTTCTGAAAACCGCAGGAGGAGAGGCGTTTAGATTTTGTTCTATGTCCTCGTGCCCAACCAATTCCAGGCCTACATAAACATACATACGATATATTTTAAGATATAAGATGTAGGAAAATAAGAACAAAAAATGCATGTATATACATATAAGATCCTTGCGCTCGCCCTTGCGCGCCCTTGCGTGCTCTTGCGCGGCCTGCGTTTCGAGCCATATGGCTGCCAGGTTACAAAATCCTAAAATCACTTTTCCTTTGACGAATACTCCGCGGTTAAAAACAAACAAATATATATATATATATATATATATAATTACTAGTATATTATATTATAATTATATACATGATCATACATTATATACGCAGTCTGTTGTTATTCATGGTGAATCTCAATTGATGAAGCCGTGGCCAGGCCCATCAACACCATCAATGTCTTGCCCATGTTGCACCTCCACACGGCTGTCTCGTTGGTCCGCACTGCTCAATAGCTCCTTGAATCATTGAAGTCCCATGGCTACTTCGGCCACCTATAAACTCTCCTGTGTCCGAAGCAAACAATAAAGCAACAAAAAGAACTTGTACAGAGAAATCTTGAGACCGACAAGTCTTCTTCTTGACCTGGCGCGTCGTCAACCGTTCGCTACACATGGTGGCTATACCTCAATCAGAGAGCTTGGCACGTCAATGGAATGACCATACTGTAGCTTGGAACACTCACATTTTCCGCACAGGGCATCGCCAGAGCTTTTCAATCCAGGGTCGATCTCGTTCATGCCACTCATTCTGCATGTCAGGACAAATATACGCATACAAAAAAAAAATATTATATATATATAAGATTGTATAAGACTATTATATAAGCACAATATACTTAGACTAATTAAATTGAATATACAGGGTATCCGAGCATCTCTTGCAGCTTTTGATATTTTCTCAGAAGTCCCGAGTCCATCTGAGCCACTGCCGAGTAAGCCTTCCTTTGGCATTTTGGAGAGCTACTGTGACTCTTGCCGTTGTAGGGACTTAAGTCAGCGGAATAATTTCGATGTTCATCCAAGGCTTTGACCTCGTCCAGAATCTTCGACCGCTGTTCCATGGTGAGAAACCGGTCTCCAGAGCCAAAGTAATGGTGCATTAGACGCTTGACTTCACGATCAAAGCCGCTAGAAGACTCTGTCAGCGTGTCAAAATCCAGCCGAAGTGTGCTGTTCTGTGGCTTTGCAAAAATGCTGGCCATCCATTCTACTTGCTGAAGCATATGCTCGGCTGCCAGTTGGGTACCCTCTTCAGGTCCAAGTGACATCAGCGCTCTTGTGGGCATAAGTTGACTTGGAAGCTCCTTGCCCTCGTGATGATAGCAATAGGCAGATGCCACCATTTTCAAAGGGTCCCGAACAGACCCTGCCACCAGCATCGGCTTAGATCCAGGATGCGCCCTCCAAGAGGCATTGAAGCCATCAGTGAATACAATGATAGGAGCTTCAGTATTCCTGCATATGTCGTAGCAAGGAAACTCAATTTTACCCATGTCACTTTCTTTCGCACCTAGAATCTGGAAAATCTTATTGTGCAATTGTTCTGTCAAGAAGACACCTGCTTTGTGATAATTTGCAGTCACATAGTTGTACACCTCCCAGGGTTTTACTCTTCGCAGTGGAGATGCCTGCCGCTGCACCATGGACATGCATTCTGCAGAATCGGTGGCGGCAACCAACACCAAATGCACCAATGACAAGGACCATAGCAGAATGTGATAACAGGACATTTGCCGAGCAGGGTCAAATGCCTCTTTGAATCCTGGCAACTTACCATAGACCACAACCAATTCGATTAGCAACATCATGAGAATAATCAATTTCACAGAAGTGAGAACAATGCACAAATATTTCAAATATGTATAGATATGTATGAATTTGTATGGTTGAGGCTTGTGACACGGCTCGGGTGACTAAGGCTTCAGTGAGGTTTCTTGAGCCCATCCTTCGCGAGGTACAGCCGCACTGATTTCGTGAGTGAAGCAGAATTAGCCTTCCTGAAGGATGTGGCACCGACATCACCTCTGCAATTTGCTGCAGAAATGAGCTGTTCGGACATGACATGTACAATGAACCTGACTGTACTACACATTCCTACAGTAACATACAGTAACCACATACCCCCAGTGGAACCCCGCTGTTGAACCTCCTATGGGTTTACCATGGTTCACCCAAAAAGGTTGCTTCCACCAGGCCAACCAGCACGACATGACGGACATGAGGTCCTTGCACTCCGCATGTGCTTGCTCCAAATCCTTGGGTCATCTTTTGAGTTCCAACTCCCGACAACTACCGTTTGTGGAGGCGGTTCATTCCAACATAATGTAACATAATTTGTTGAACGTTCGTGCTGTGGATTGAATCCTCGAGGATCTACTGTAGGAGGCACATAATTACATTTCGCCAGGTTGAAACAAGCCAGTTTTTTAATTTCACCAAAAGCACGTTTGCCTGAAATTCGCTTGTAAAACCGCAACATACCGCAACACTCGAAAAATCCCGTGCTTCTGGGATCCGTTTTGTTTCCAATCTTGCACTTCCATGTCCTGAAAATTTCACCTTCACTGCCTAGTTTTCCTGATATTCCCTGACAAGCGGATGCTACATCTTTGATGCGAATATGAAATTGAAATAAATTCAACAGTATTGAACCATAGCCATCCATGGATATCCATGGCCATCGATGACTGCCCACATCTGTCCACTCAGGCACTCCACTCCTGCCAAGCCACACGTTCTGCACGTCTGCTACGATCCTGTTGTGCTCGTAGCTCACTGCGAAGTCGACCTGTTGTGGTCATGATCGGTCATGATTTCTCAACAATGCGGAGACAGAAAATGACGGAAAGTGATGTGGGGAAGTGATGTGCAAGTACGCCCTGAGTAGGATTCATTTCTCATCATTTCTTCGGTTGAGATCTCGATATTCAGCGATTCAATAAGTCAACAAATGTCAACAAATGTCAACAATATTCGACAATAGTGGTCGACATGAGCCTTGGCCCTTGGCTGGCCCTTGGGCCTCCGAGCCTTGGCTGCTTTGAACCTCTGCCAGTTGGTCATTCAAAGCTTGGACCTCCTCCGTGCTTTGACTCTTGGAAGCCTCCAAACTCTGCCTGTGCCACTGGCACATCTGGCACTGCTTATGGTTGTATATATTGATTATGTTGGTGTTCGTGATTTGTGTCTTTGTGTATTTTGTGTCATCATGTGTCAACTATGACTATGAGATTGTCGGTGTTGGTGACAATCATGATGACAGTAACTGCGATAGATGTGATAGTAATATATTATAGTAATACTGTAATACTGATAGTGCTCATGTTGATCATACCCATGTGCAACTCATTGAAATATTTGAAATGAGACTCGTCCATTCCTGGCACCTCAACTCAGCCACTTCAGTGCTAGACTCCCGCAGCATTGCACTCAGGACCTTCAGCATCATCCCATGGGGGGGAAGATGGGAAACGCTGTGCACATTTAACCAGGTCCCAATAGGAAGTGAATTGAAGCCTGGTGGAATTGTCTGATTTTGGGCAAGAAACACATTTAAAAAACCACATACAAAATTATACAAAACAATCTCTTTACTGTGAATCAACCTCATGCTTTCCAGTGGATGTGTTACTCATCCGTCGAATGTACACAAAACTGACTCAGTATGACTCAGTACTTCGTGGATACAGTCGCAGTCGGATGCAGCATAAGAATGCGTGTGTCCCAAAAAAAGATCCCAATGTTTATCCTACCCGCTTATAATCGTTTATCATGCATATTTATACAATTTTATACATTGGTTTTCCCAAATCATGACAATGGTTCCAAAGATGTTGGGTCCCTAACTTTGGACGTTACAGTGAATCCATGTGAATCCCCCATCGCACCTCTTTCTGCTGTGCTGATTCGCTACGAAGTTCTTGCAATTCTGAGGTCGCCTGAACGCGACCTATGTGTTAAACCCACCCTTCCAAGGACTAAAATGATGCGGTACACTCCATCTCACCAAATCCATCTATTTAGCCTAAATAGTTTAGCCATGGCATGGATTTAACATGATCTGATCTCAAAGGAATCGATTCCCAATATGTATATATATATAATTATATATATACATATATTCCAACATGTTCCAATACTGATTGACTCCACGTCCTCCCGCACCATTTCTCCGCTGTATTCACAGCCTAAGCCCGGGCAGTGGTGACATGGTGCCTCTCCAAGCAGTCGCTGCCGCAGTGCCTCTGCGTCCTGGGAAGAGGCACCCAATTGTGACCCATAAGATTCATCCAATTCTTTGTTCTGATCAATATTGGATTAATTAATTATGATGTTGTGTCCCAAGGCTCAATTTTTCTGCGCCGAGCTGATTGATTTCATGAAACAACAGCGCCAACACCTAGACCTAGAATGACCTGAGAAGGACCTAGACAGTAACAGCATATCCCAGCCTCTGCTGCAGTTCCTGATATCTCTCCAAGAGGGATGTCTCCATCTTCAACACGGCTTCACTGGCTTTCTCTTTACACTCAGGGTCACTGGTGTGGTTGGTATTCACAGCGTTGAACGGATTGTAGTCATTCTCAGGATTGCGATGTAAGTCAAACTGCTTTCCAGCTTCAAGAATGAAAGAGCGTTGCTCCCTTGTAATCAAATCACCTGGAAAGTCGTGATCAAGCCACAGCCAAAGTCCCATTCCTCGATCAAAGCCCTCCGAGGACTCTGTGAGCTCTTCATACTTCAAACGAAGTGTGTTGTTGTCAGGCTCAGCAAAGATACTGGCCATCGATTCCATGACAGGAAGCATGTATTCTGCTGTCAATGCTGTACCCTCCTCAGGTCCCAAGACAAGTAATTCCGGCCCAGGCATCAGATCATTGTTTAGTTCCTTGCCTTCATGATGATAGCAATAGGCAGATGCAACCATCTGTAGCGGGTCCCGGACAGAGCCTGCCACCAGCAACGGTTTACTGCTAGGATGAGCAGCCTTCCAAGAGGCATTGAAGCCATCGATGACTAATAGGATGGGAGCCTTCTCATTGATGCATGTAGTGTAGCATAGTGTAGCATGGGTATTCCGTTTCCCCCTCTCGTCCAGCTCCTAAGGCAGTGAAAATGGTCATGTGAACTTTGGCTGTCAAGTAGACGCCTGACTTTTATTGACTTGCGGTAATTTGCTGCAATGTAGTGATGCACTTCCCATGGTTTGGGAAGTGGCTCTAAATGCAGCCTGGTTTGAACCATGGACATGGAGATGCAGTCGGGGCCCTCGCTGGCAACCAGGGCCGACAATGGAAGCCACAGCAGCCATGGCATCCATTGCAACGTCATAGTCTTCAGCGCAGTAACAGTCATTAACAGTTTGAACATGTTCGAGTTCGAGCCTTCTTGTCTTCCATTCTGAACAATAATTAATTAATCAATCATATTTTAATAAGTATAATTGCAAACTCGACTTTCCCTGTTTCTAGCAAATGCGGCAACATTCTTCCTTCTGCTCTTGCAATCGGGCTCAGTGAGTTTTCTTGAGCCCACTTGTGCTGCTAGTGGGAAGAAGAATCGATACATCTCCAGGAAGAAATCCCATGGAATCATGGCAACAGAAACCACAAATCACACCACAAATATCCACAAATCATATCAAATCATCGCAAATCATCATATAATGCCCTTCACTTGCCCTTTAAAGTCACACTCTTACTGTGCCCGTTGCAAAAATAGCACGATACCTTTAAGGATCCCTTGGGTACGTCGCCGGTCGCGCCGGTCGTCCGAGTCCTTGGAGCTGCTGTCAGACTTCTCGCGGAGGTTTTGCATCTCCAGCTCTTTCTTCTCTCGCAGTTGCTTGATCTCTCGCATGCGAGCCTCGACTGTGGACGAACGACCACGAATGACTACGGAGAGGAAAATCCATAGGCCATACTGCAGGTTCGCAAGCGAGGTTGCGCTGTCGGCGTCATGGCCTTCCTAGGGATAAGATAATTCTGATATTATGTAGATATATTATATATGATTATATGATAATAAAATTAATGATATTAATTCATATATAAATACTAATAAATACTAATAAATACTAATAAATACTAATAAATACTAATAAATACTAATAACCAGTAGTATATATATATATATATTATATTCATTCAAATTAATTTTACTCGGCAACTCAAGCATTCCATTCTGAAAGGAACTCTCAACTCATCTTGTCTGGCTCGCATGTCTGCCTCATCGCGCTCCTTTGCATCCTTGATCACCTGTGGCCGCAATGGCCGCAGGAACCACCATGGCCACAGCTATGGAACACTGCGCGGCATCCAACCTGCTCCATGTTCTGCTTCATCTCTTCAACTTTGGCTGTCCTGAGGTCACCAATGCGGTCACCAATGCGTAGCCCCCAGTGACAAAACAACCGGCCCACGGGCCACGGGCAGCACTTCTGCCAAGCATCTCTTTCTCAAGCTTAGCTGTGAGTTTCTGGCCTGGATATCACTGCTATCACCACCACTTTGACATCACTGGTGGCAGTGAATGCAGTCAATTTCAAGCGTGACTGGCGTGACTGCTGGCCAGAAAATCAAGAAATAATGAGTATCTAAGATATTCTAAGATACTGTATCTACATTGTGTATGGCTGGCCATGATACGTTCTCTCTGATGTTGAATACACATGAACAAAACATCATCCGACTCCATGGCGCAAATCCTGCATCCTTAATCCAGGCAAAACCATGCGTTCGTGGGACCAAAGCAGTTTCTGCATGTCTTGAACTCACATCCACGCCGCGTACATCCTCTATTATTGCAAGTAAATATAAGCACGCACTACATATACAAAAACACATCAAGACCCTACCCCGTACATTCGTTCACATTGAGTTTAGTTCCTCATTTGCCTGAAAGCAGCTCCAACCAACCATGATCAACGCCCAAAGGCCACAAAATAACATAACATACCATAAAATACAATTAAAAAAATCCACAAAATACAATTAAAATACCATAAAATACCTAATTAGCCAATCCTCCCTGACAAACAATAGACACAGACAAATAAAAAAGACAAATGGAACACACAGAATTCCAGGTCTCCAACATTCGTCTTCGCTCTTCTTAAGCTGCTTCTGCTGACGCCCCTGAACCCAGGGTGTTTTCCAAGCCATTCCGCTAACAATGAACCAAAGAAACATAAAGAAACATAGATAAACCAGGGAAGCGCACCGAGGCGGCACCCTCAGAGCTGCGGAGCTGACTTGACCTTAGAAACTTCGCAGGTGAAGCAGCGATGATAACCATGGTAGCAACATGTAGCAACTAAGACTAAGACTGGCAAACATTGGCAAACTATGTTTTTTTTTGAACATGGAAACTGCTCATGCTGGTTGACTTTCAACATCTTGCAACATCTTTCATCCTTTCCAAAGAAAAGCCCAAAAACAGTTTCACCATGTTTCACAACAGTTTCACCTGCGTGTCCCTGGCAATTGCTGAACTCTGTTTTCAGCGTCATCCCAGCTTTGCTGCAGTTTTTGCAGTTGAAGTGCGAAGGCCTGGCAAACTTTCACAGTTTTCCACGAGAACCAACGGCAGGGGCAGTGAAATGCCCCAATTGAACATCACCCAACAAATGGAAACATCATCGGTTTTTATAAATCCCTAAAATGGGAAATCTATGGAAATTTAAATAAATTCACCAACCCGTCTGAAATACTGACAGCCGGAGTTAAGGCACACGTCCCAATCAAACAGCAACGGGATCGCTCGACACGTCTAAATTCAGAAGTTGGACGTGGTGGAAAAAACAGGTCCACACATAAAGGGACTTTAAGCTCCACTGATGGGGAAACCTTGATGCACCTCAAGACTCTCCAGAATGTTATATACGAAATGTACAGAATACCAATTTGAGTACAAATGCCTTATGCCTTCGTTCTGCTCTGGAGCTGCTTCGCATCTCAATATTCAGGAAAGGAAAGGGCTCCAGAACGCAAGGGGCACTGATGACATCTGATGACGGACAACGGACAATACGGACAATACGGACAATACAGAATGACACCTTTTCCACTGACCACCACAATTCTGCGTCACGGCGGCCGCTTCATGTCGCGCTCTCAGGCGATGCCTCGGCTTCAGCGGAGAAGGGGCTGACGAAATTCATGAAACCAACGGCACAGAATAGCATTGTAAGTGCATCCTATATATATCGTATAAGAGCACAAGGCTTCATATGTTTCATGAAGATTTCCAACCAGTTGCCATAAATATCAATAAAATTCAATAAATCTGTTTGTTTTTTTCGAAACACGGTTGCTGCAAAAAAACGATTGGCACCTGCGCCACTGGAGAGGGAACTGCTTCACCTGACCACTGTGAAACTGAAGTTATGGACTAAGTTTGTTCTGGCCGAAGCTCGTTCCTCTTATCCGACTTATCATTGGACTGTCTTGATTTCTGAACAACCTGTTCCAGTTTTGCTTCGAAAGTACCCCCTTCAAGCCTGTGGGATGGGATGATTGTTGAATTATCACCACAAGCATCCATAAACCCTTTGTACCGACTGACAGTCGACTGACAAGCGCATGTCCCATCGTTCTTGCACTCAGTTCCCCCTGCGTCTTGGGCAAATGCATTGCACTGTAAGGCAATCTAGAAGAACAATTTGAAGACCAGTGATGCAATCCAAAAAATATCTTTATAGTGACGGACAATCACTTAGAACGTAAAAAAATCCAAAAGTTTTTTTTGCACTTAGAACGTGGCACGAAATTATAGGCAAAATTTCATCACTTAGAACGTAAAACCATCACTTAGAACGTAGGGAGGCCAATTCAACACTTAGAACGTAAAACCAACACTTAGAACGGGCTAAGTGATTGTCCGTCGCTATATAAACATTTTTTTCGATTTCAAAATCAATTAAATTTCCTTATATAACGCAATTAAAAATATTGCCAAAAATCGAATTTCGAAGCGGACATTAATAATAAATTTAAACCCTGAATAAGAAAGACTATTTTTTTCGATTTCAAAATCGCTAAATTTCTTTATATAACGCAATTAAAATATTGCCAAAAATTGGATTTCGAAGCGGATCCTAATAATAAATTTAAACTCTTATTAAAAAAACAAGTTTTTTCGATTCAAAATCAATTGAATTTTCTTTTATAACGCAATGAGAATATTGCCAAAAATTAGATTTCGAAGCGGACCCTAATAAATTTAAACCCTTAATAAAACAAAACTATTTTTTTCGATTCAAAATCAATTAAATTTCCTTATATAGCGCAATTCAAATATTGTCACAAATTGGATTTCGATGCGGACCTAAATAATAATTTTAAACCTTTAATAAGAAAAACTATTTTTTCCGATTTCAAAATCAGTTAAATTTCCTTAAATAACACAGTTAAAATATTGCCAAAAATTGGATTTCCGAAGCGGACCCTATTAATAATAAATTTAAAACCTTAATTTTTTTTTTTAAAAAAAAAATTCCCGCTTTCGGAATCAATTGAATTTCCTTTTATAACGCAATTAACCAAGTGCAGAAAATTGATATTCGAAATGGAATCGAAATTATGTCTATGTTTCCTACGGAATTAGCTGCTAAATCCAACACTTAGAACATCAGAACCCCAAAAAGCACCAAAAGGATCCAAAAGGTATAGTGTTCCAGAGATAAAAGATCGCCAATATTTGCAAATCATATGGGAGGGAAAAGCCAAATGGTACGAAATTATGTCTATGTTTCCTACGGAATTAGCTGCTGAATCCTACACTTAGAACGTCAGAACCCCAAAAAGCAACAAAAGGATGCAAAAGGTATAGTGTTTCAGAGATAAAAAATCGCCAATATTTGCAAATCATCTGGGAGGGAAAAGCCAAATGGTACGAAATTATGTCTATGTTTCCTACGGAATTAGCTGCTGAATCCAACACTTAGAACCCCAAAAAGCAACAAAAGGATCCAAAAGGTATAGTGTTCCAGAGATAAAAGATCGCCAATATTTGCAAATCATATGGGAGGGAAAAGCCAAATGGTACGAAATTATGTCTATGTTTCCTACGGAATTAGCTGCTGAATCCAACACTTAGAACGTCAGAACCCCCCAAAAAGCACCAAAAGGATCCAAAAGGTATAGTGTTCCAGAGATAAAAGATCGCCAATGTTTGCACATCATATGTGAGGGAAAAGCCAAATGGTACGAAATTATGTCTATGTTTCCTACGGAATTAGCTGCTGAATCCAACACTTAGAACGTCAGAACCACCAAAAAGCAACAAAAGGATCCAAAAGGTATAGTGTTCCAGAGATAAAAGATCGCCAATATTTGCAAATCATATGTGAGGGAAAAGCCAAATGGTACGAAATTATGTCTATGTTTCCTCGGAATTAGCTGCTGAATCCAACACTTAGAACGTCAGAACCACCAAAAAGTACCAAAAGGATCCAAAAGGTATAGTGTTCCAGAGATAAAAGATCGCCAATATTTGCAAATCATATGGGAGGGAAAAGCCAAATGGTACGAAATTATGTCTATGTTTCCTACGGAATTAGCTGCTGAATCCAACACTTAGAACGTCAGAACACCCAAAAAGCAACAAAAGGATCCAAAAGGTATAGCGTTCCAGAGATAAAAGATTGCCAATATTTGCACATCATATGTGAGGGAAAAGCCAAATGGTACGAAATTATGTCTATGTTTCCTACGGAATTAGCGGCTAAATCCAACACTTAGAACGTCAGAACCCCAAAAAGCAACAAAAGGATCCAAAAGGTATAGTGTTCCAGAGATAAAAGATCGCCAATATTTGCAAATCATATGGGAGGGAAAAGCCAAATGGTACGAAATTATGTCTATGTTTCCTACGGAATTAGCTGCTGAATCCAACACTTAGAACGTCAGAACCCCCAAAAAGCACCAAAAGGATCCAAAAGGTATAGTGTTCCAGAGATAAAAGATTGCCAATATTTGCACATCATATGTGAGGGAAAAGCCAAATGGTACGAAATTATGTCTATGTTTCCTACGGAATTAGCGGCTAAATCCAACACTTAGAACGTCAGAACCCCCAAAAAGCACCAAAACGTATAGTGTCCCAGAGATAAAAAATCGCCAATATTTGCAGATCATATGGGAGGGAAAAGCCAAATGGTACGAAATTATGTCTATGTTTCCTACGGAATTAGCTGCTGAATCCAACACTTAGAACGTCAGAACCCCAAAAAGCACCAAAAGGATCCAAAAGGTATAGTGTTTCAGAGATAAAAGATCGCCAATATTTGCAAATCATATGGGAGGGAAAAGCTAAATGGTACGAAATTATGTCTATGTTTCC